ACACCCACTCCTCACCCCGGCCCAAGCCCTGGTCAGGGCTTGTGCTGGAGGCAACCAATCTACATGTACATCGATGTTTCTCTCTGTCTTTCCCTCTCTCTTCCACTCCCTAAAAATCAATGGAAAAATCCTCGAACGAGGATTAACAGCAACAAAGGAAGTACAAATTAACCATTAAAAATCATCATGGGGTGGGGATGTAAAGAACAGCATAGGGACTATAGTCAATAATATTGTAATAACTATACATGGCGCCAGATAGGTACTGTATTTATCAGGGGGGTCATTTTGCAAGTTATATAAATGCCTAACCATTGTGCTGTACACCTGAAACAAATACTGAATGTCAACTGTAACTGAAAATTAAAAATAAAGTTTAAAAAAAAAATTTGTGTCTAAATTGTCCCATCTGTATAATGGGAATAAGAATATTATTTCACATATTGTAAAAATTAAACAAATTACTCTATGTAGAGTACTTAGTGTTTGGCTCATAATAAACATTATGTAAGTGGTTTATTATTTTTGGTGGTTTACTGTTATTGTCACCTATTTTTCAACTTCCCTTTTAGTGAACGAGCATTTTCCGTCTTTGTATACACACCGTCCCTACTTCTGGGTCTATACCCAAAAGAAATGAAAGCAGGAACTCAAACAGATATGTGTACACGCACCTTCATGACAGTATGGAGTCACCATCACTAAAAAGTGGAAACAACCCGAAGGTCCATCAAAGGATGAATGACACACAAAAAGTGGTCTCTCCACGCAATGGGGTGGAATAGCACTGTCTTTACAGGAAGGAAATTCTGACGCGTGGGTGAACCTTGCAGATTTAAGCTATGTAGCAACATAAACCAGACGCAAAGAACAACTATAAGGTGACTCCGCTCATACAGGTACTCAAATTCATAGGGGCAGGAAGAATGCTGGTGGCCAGGCCTGGGGGAAGGAGGGAGGAGGGAGTTGCAGTTTAATGGGGACAGGGTTTCAGTTTGGGAAGATGAAAAGCTTTGCAGATGGACAGCGGAGACGGTGGTACCGCAATGGGAATGCAAGCGAACTGTACTCTGAAAACAGTAAACTGGTAAGTTTTTGTTGTGCATATTTTATCACAATTTTTTTAAAAAAAAACCACCTCGGAGGAACACTTTGTAAAGTATACGATCGCCTAACCACTATGCTGTACACCCGACACTAATACGAAATAATATTGAAGGTAAACTGTAATTGAAAATAATTTTTTAATTAACAAAAAACGAACCCTAAAATCTAAAAACAAGAAAAGAGCACGTGCCCTCCCTCCTTCCCCAGGAGCCAAGGACACGCGGCTGGTCCAGAAGGGGGCGCGTGGGTCCTCTCGGCTCAGCAGCAGCATCAGCAGCATGAAGTCCCCCAACCTGAACTCCCATAACTGCAGGCCCCGGGTGGCCTTTCCCGGGCCCCTTCCCGTGCTCAGGGTGGCTGACAGTGCCATCTCTGCTTCCCACGCCACGGCCTGGAAAGCTGTCCTTCCAGAAGCTTCCTCTAACTCCCAGGGGGTAGAGCCCACATCGTCCCGGTGTTATTCTATTCAGCCTATTTCACTGCTGCACAGCGGGGCACAGGATGGCGCAGAAATAACGGGGGAATAAATAGCCCAGGCGCAGTCACCGCCTACGCCTCAGGCTCCAGCCCCTTTCATGAAGCATGGCCTGGCAGGTGCTCCCAGAGGCGTCCAGAAAAATCCGTGCAGCCCCCCAGCCCCCCACATCCCCTGATTGCAAGGAAAAGCTTACTAGTGGGCAGTTTTCCGGACCCTTCCTCCCTGCACAACAAGCCCCATAGGAGGCTGTGTGCCTCCTCCTCGGAGAAGGAGGAGAGTAAGTCTTCTCAGGAGGCCACACTTTTCTGTTAATTCCTACTCTGATATTCTGTTAATTTCTATACGTAACATTTTTCTTTCTTTAATTTTTTATTTATTTATTGAGTTTAGAGAGAAAAGGGAGAGAAAAACGCCGATTTGTTGGTCCACTTATGCATTCTTTGGTTGCTTCTTATATGTGCCAGGGGATGGAACCCTCAACCTGGGCGTATTGGGACAACGCTCTAACCCACTGAGCTACCCGGCCAGGGACAAAACTTTTCTTAAAATGCCTGATGAAACATATCTGTGGGGGTAAAACTAAAAGCATTTCCCACTTAGATTTTGTGGGCTACTTATGTGCGGAAATTTTTAAAAGAACATTGTCTAGTTATAAGAGGAAAAGGGAAGAAGAAAGAGGGGAGGAGGGACAATATCAGGAGGGAGAGAGGGAGGGAGGGGAG